CTTTATATCTTATTTTTATTATTTACTTCTGACTATATCTATTTTTAATACATTTATATTTTCTGAATTGCAGAATATACAATTATATGTATATTTGCAATTTAGTTTATTTGCTTTGGTTTGTTGTTTCTAGTTTTATTCTCTGTTTCGATTTCACTTTCCCTCTCTGAATTTACTATAATTTGCCATTTTCAATTTGCATGTGGTGTGGCTTCCTGATGCATGTGGTCTGTATTTGTTTCCCAGTCTCTTTTCTAGTACTATTTCGGTTCTGCTCACGGAGACTTCGACTGATATTCGTCGACTCTTCAAAGCTTTTTGGGGCCTCGCGCTCAATCCCCGATCCCTTTGCTGTCTTTTGTGTTAATTTTAGATGTTCATCATTAAAAATTTTTACAATTATGAAGTGTGGGTGGTTTTTTCGGGGTCTGATCGCGGTGCACCATTCGTTTCCGGTCAGTTTAGCAGTTTTCCCTGCGGCCATCTTAGGAATAGGCAATAGATGACCGTGCTAGGGCATCCCACTTTTTTCTGACTGGGCATTCAGAACTGAAGGCATTATGGTCGTTTCGTTCTTGTTTCGTCCTCATACAATTTTTGCACGAGGGCGTTTGTCCCGAGAGCCATTCAGTGCATTCCGACCTGAGGTGTGGCCCTCCGCAATGACTACACGTGTCCGTCCCTTCACTGCATAGCTTTTTGCTGTGGCCATATCCCAGGCAACGGGAGCACTGTATAAGTGGCGACTGGTCATAGACCCGGACCCTCTGTAGGTCTACATGTATCACTTCATTTTCAATCATGATACCCCAAATTTTTGGTGATACTTTCATCACGATGTGGCAGGTGAGCGGGCTTCTTGTCCTTTTCCGAAACATGATAGTCATCCTACTCTCCTCCTCACTCACCTGCCCTAACAGATGGCTGTTTTGACGACTAATAGCTTTTATAATTTCTTCGTCGGAGTTATATGCCATAACATCTCTTAGGATAACCAGAGGATCTTTGTTCTTAATGTCCTCTACAATTAAATGTGATCCGTCTTTCCTTATTCGCTCCTTGATTTTACTTAGCTCTTCTTTGTCACTACATCCCACTATTATTTTTCGGTCTTTTGCCTTCCTTATTTTGTCAATTTTAAAACCTTCTTCTTTCGCGTTAATGATTTTCCTGACCCTCTCTAGGACCTGGTCTCCCGTCTCTATTTCGTCTACCGAGGTTATGGCCACTGAGTGAGTAGCAGCTTCTTTGGGTGGTGATCTTCCGATTCCGACTGCAGTGACACGAGCATAAGAGGTCTTCTCCGCCTCGTTTTCCCTTTTCTTAAGTGTCTCCTTAAGCTCAATTATCTCCTTCCTACTCTCCTCAAGCAGCTGCCCATGTTCCTCGATCTTCCTAACAAGAACCTCCTGTCCCGTTTCTTTCTCCGTTTTCTGTATTATTTCGTTATCGTCCCTTCTTTCAGTACTTTCTCTCTCTCTTCTTTCTTTTTCGGCGTCCTTCACTAGTTGATACAATCTGTCTATCATCAAGGTGACCTCCGACTTTATGTCAGTTCTTAGATTGCGCGAGTTACTCAAGTGCAACTTCGCTTTATTCAGGCAAGCTTTTGCTTCTGCCACTCTGTCGGGTTGCTGCTCTTTGGCTACTTCGGGTGTTTTATGTGCCTCGTCTATCGATAGTCGCCGTTTTCCACCTTGGATAGGAATATTACACTTTAAGTTTGCGGATGTTGTCGCCGACTGTTTGGCTTTCGTTGTTTTATCCGCTTCCCACTCCCCGATACTGCGTCTGACATTTTGTGTTTTCATTTCTCGGGAAGATGTTGATGTGCCCGGCGCCTCACTATATACCGGGGACGATCTCTCCATATCCTTCTGAGGCTTCTTGGCGGGAGTGCGGATGCCAAACATTTTTAGGTGTAGAGGGGGGGGGGGGGGGGAATACGTCAATAGTTCGTACCGAAGTATACTTTGTTGTCAATACAATAATTACTTTACTATGAAGTAAATAGAGTCATATACTATTAGCTATTCGGTGTTATATATAATTCTTATATACTAGTCCCTATATCCGGCTTATATGTATAGGGTATAAGCCGTCCTCAAATGTCAGTAAGTTAACTCGCTCCTTAACACTAAGGAGAGTCCTACTTGTTGCTGTTTGCTCCGATCGCCTCGTTCAGTTCGTCCAAATTACTCAACCTCGAAAAATTTTATTTTTCAGATGTTTAAGAATATTTTAAAAATACTTTGAGTATGCTTACAGAGCTGTTTTTGGTATAGAATTAATGAGGGAGTTGCCGGCTATAAGCTGGGCGTGTTAATTATCGCAGAACACAAAGTTGGTTTTTTACAGGTATAAAGTCTACTTAAGTAATCTAGAACGGGAGGGCGGGCAGGCGAAAATTTGACTTTTTCTGCGGAAATAATTTATTCCCGGTGTCTTGGGGACGGTTCCAGAGCCGTGCCTGTCCAACTAAGCGAAAACGGTATGAATATGGTGAAATTTGGAAAATATATTTGTCAATTTAGTTACGTATATTATTGTTTTAATTAATTTTGATGCTTCCTAACAGCCTAAACGACGACGAGAGCTAAATGGATGGAGTAAGACCAATTTAAAACTATTATTTTATACTTTTAACAGCGGGTTAGGTTAGGTTAGGTTTTTTTTTTTCTTTTCTTGTCCCCCTGACATGGGTTCTCAGGGACCTTATCATCTTTCGTATTTTCAACTCTTTTTTTCGATTTTTTCAAATGGTTTTACAAGTTTTCTGTTTCAATTTTTGTTTTTACATTTCTTTTCTTAATTGTATTATGTTTATATTTACTTATACATAAAATATGAGAAATACAGCTACAACTTCCGTCACTTAACAGTTGTTACTTCTTATACTAAACCTTATTTCTATTTATACTATATTATATTTGTAACTTCCTTACTTTTATGTTCTTAAATCTAACATGTTTTGTGTGTTAATCAAGGAAAGTACAGTTCAATTTTCTATCTTCACTTACTTAGTCTATGTCTTCCATGTATCTACATTATATTTAACTTACATATGTATCTATTTATACCATCTTACTTTTTACTTTGCTAGTTTCCGATTACACATACTTTATTACTTCGGGTTCTTATCATATACAGAGTATATGTTAAGAATTCCCATTTTTATATTCATCATTTATTTTTATTCACTGTTTTTTTCTACTATTCTCTTGCAATATTTAATAAATTTATTTCTGCTATTTTTATTTTCAATTAATTTCGGTATACTAATATTATTTATTTTAATTTCGAACTCTATCTCAAGATCTAGTCTGTCCTTAGCATATATGGGGCATTCGGTGAGTAGGTGAATGACAGTCTGTTCTTGTCCTGTGTCACAGTCACATGACGGGCTCTCTCTGCACCGAAAAAGATGCAAGTACTCAGAGAACCCGCCATGACCCGTCAGTGTCTGTGTCGTCATCGGGTCTATGTCTAGTTTTCTTACTGTGTGATAAGCTTTTATGGCATCAGGGAAAAATGTTTTTGTGACTGATGCAGTTGCTCCCTCCTAATACCTCCGATTCCATTCCCTGAGCGAATCCTGGCGGATTTCATGCTTGATAAATGAAACCGGACACCTATCATATTGTGGTCTTGTCTTGGTCTTGAGTGCGGCTTCCTTTGCTAGGAAATCTGCTCTTTGAAGGCAAGGGAACCGCCCTGATTTCTCAGGTTTGCGATATTTTCCCTTGCCTCTACAGCCATGGGGTGCAGGGAATCGCCGCGACTGACAGTTTCCAGAGCAGATCTTGAGTCGCTATAAATATTGCAGCTTCGTGCAGGTTTCCTAATCGCCACTTTAGTAGCTTCTAACAGGGCCAGCAATTCTGCCTGGTTAGGTGAGGTTAGGTTAGGTTAGGTTAGGTTAGGTTAGGTTAGGTTAGGTTAGGTTAGGTTAGGTTAGGTTAGGTTAGGTTAGGTTAGGTTAGGTTAGGTTAGGTTAGGTTAGGTTAGGTTAGGTTAGGTTAGGTTAGGTTAGGGTTAGGTTAGGTTGGTTAGGTTAGGTTAGGTTAGGATAGGTAGGTTAGGTTAGGTTAGGTTAGGTTAGGTTAGGTTAGGTTAGGTTAGGTTAGGTTAGGTTAGGTTAGGTTAGGTTAGGTTAGGTTAGGTTAGGTTAGGTTAGGTTAGGTTAGGTTAGGTTAGGTTAGGTTAGGTTAGGTTAGGGTTAGGTTCGGTTCGGTTAGGTTAGGTTAGGTTAGGTTCGGTTAGGTTAGGTTAGGTTAGGTTAGG